TTTTAGTAAATATTTATTATTTTATTTAATATTTGTCTTAAAAATTTGAATTGTAAGGTAAAATTTTTTTACGTCATTTTAAAAGAAGGTAATTTAACATGGGAAAATACAATAGTTCAGCAAAATTGATCGAACAGTTAATGAGAAATCAAATTTCAAATATCCGACTTCTTTAAAATTCGATTTCTCAGAAAATCGAACTCCATATTCGAACTATATGAATATAGACTAACCTGCAGAACAGGTTTTTCAAAAAACTTTATAAAACTAATCAAAATTAATTGGATTTAAAAGTTGTTTTTAAGGAAAAAGAAAAATATAAATCATTGAAATATTTGAGGAGAAGATGACTTTTCGCATCTTTATGAAAATACACTATAAGAATGCGTATGCTTCATAACTAAAAAGACTCGAGTTCTTCATTAGATGCTTTTTTTTATATATATTCTTAAAATAAAGATAATTATTTAACGAAAAAATATTATTGTGATTATCATTTTATTGATAACTTTTTTTCTCAAGTTACTAAACTGTTGTAATGATTGGGTTATAAACTACATATTATACCCTTAATATTATTTTGTTACCATTTTACTTTGATTATAAGAAATAAATATAATATATAAATGTAATATATAAATAGAGGACACTTTAAACCCATTTAAAAGCAGTACACTAATTTTTTTCAAGCAATATGATATGGAGTGACATAAATGTAATGTGATATATATTGCGAAAGACTTAAAAATTAAAAAATTAGCATTTATATAAAATTAAAAGAGTAGTATTTATTTAATCTATTTTTTTGTTTGTTTGTTTTTGTTTGAAGGAAGAAAATGGCAATCTGAAATAAAAGAAAAAATATAGGAGAAAGATTTGCAAAATTTTGTGCCTGAGAAATAAGGAAGCGTGCTCCATAGCTCGAAGACAGTTTGATAAATATTAAATAAGTATAATTTAAAAATTCAAAACAAACATGTCTTTAAAAATTAAAAATTCTTTTTTCTTTTTTCAAATATTTTTCTTTTTTCAAATCAAAATATAATAAAAATTGTGAGTGAATAATACTTCTGTAAAAAAAAAGGAAAGAAAAAAAAATCGAACTTTCCAGTGGTTAAATTCAAAATTTATTTATTATGAATAAAAAGAAAAACATTTTTAGGTAGTTGGCAACTGCTGAACTTAATGAACGTTACTTACTTAATTTACACAAAAGTATTTACCTATCGCAATTAATTTTCAGGAAATTTAAAAAATTATGTCCCCAATAACATTTGAAATTTTGACATTTGTTTTTTTTATTATATATTATTTTTAATAATCAAGCATTAACAAGTATTTAATTATACAATATATAATTATTAATACCAAAAAATCAATAATTACTTACAATCAAGGAAGAAAATCCTACCACTTAAATAGTTGAATGAATCATAAAGAGCTGTAACTTATTAAATTAGATTATAAAATTCCAAACTAGACTTTAAATATTTATTCTCTTGAATTAAATTTTGAAATAACAACTAGAACAAGCAGAATTTTTCATATGTGCCTGAACACCTNCAGTGTTTTTTTCCTTATGCAATATTACAGTTTGACTCTAAGTTAGTTTCAATAAAGTCTTATCAATAGTGTCTTGTTTGTTTATAAGATTGTGAACTTTAAAACTCTTATGCGCGAATAAACCTTTTGAATGAACATTATTAAACTGTTTATTTTATGATCGTTTATTCCTGAAAAAAATTTTTTTTTTTTCGTTTCTTCAAACAATTTTACGTTTAGTTTGTGCTTTATTTTTCATTTTTAATTGAAAAAAATGAAATACATAATACACTGAAAAGAAAGAAAAAAATTAAATTCTCTGTAATTTTCTATAATGAATAATGAGCTTATATTTTGTTTCCTTTTTTTCCGTATCGGCTATAACTTAAATTCTTTCTATTACAGCTTTGACTTGTAAAGCAATGATAAGCTACATTTTCGAAAATTTTAAATTCATTTGAAATTATATATGTGGTTAAAAGACTTTTCGTAAAAGGATTTTGATAAAAATTAAAAATATTTTCATTTGAATGTATTAAAAAGTTAGCAAAGGGAGTAATAATAATTATTAAAAACTAGGCATTATTCTTTAAATTATGATTTTGTAATTAAAATTTGGTTTTTTCACGTAATCGTCGTAAATATAACAGCAGAAAGGACGAAGCTATTTTTTCATTTGTTTATTTTAGTATTCATCGTGAATGTATTCATGAACATTAACAAATTATATTTAATCTGAATTGTTTGACGTTCGTCACCAACTTTGTTTACGATTAGCGGTTCCCTTTCATACTTCACTGCCCCAGTGACAAAAAGAGTCCCTCAAAAAACGATGTTTTCTTTTCGAGCCCAGGTGAAAAGTTTAAATGTTGTACGCTTTAATGCTGTATGCTTTCTCTCTCTCTCTCTAAATATATATATATATATTATTTTTTTTTGAACTTAATGAAATTCTTAAGTAAAAAAATTTTTGATGTTGATCGATTTTGCGCCTTTTTGAAATAATGCGCCCATGGCATTCGCCATACTTGCCATACCCTAGGTACGCCACTGGATGTTAAGGCCCTTGCAGCCAGTGAACTGTGGTTTAAAGGACCAGACTTTTCGAAATTAAACTTACCTGGTCTTCAGAGTGTGCAAATTTCTAGTGGCTCAACCGACAAACTTTATATTGGTGAGTTGAAGCCAGTTTCCAAAATAACTTTTGACTTTAAATAATGACTAAATTTTTAGATGATTTTCTAGTTATCACTAATGACTTTCACAAATTAATCAGAATTCTGGCATTTATTTTTAGGTTTGCCCAAAACTGCAAATTTCCTGAAAGGGTAAGATGATTCCTTCAAACAGTAGGAATACATGAACGCGGAAAAGGTGCTCTTAAAAAATTGTCAAAGGAAGTATTTTTCTTCTGAGATCTCTGCTTTAGAAAAACGATCGCCAGTTCTATCTACTAGTAAGTTAAAATTTCTTAATCCCTTCATAGATCGAATGTGGGTGGCAGACTTGTGCATTCTAATTTAAGTTAGAAACACCCAGTTATTCTTCCGACGGGAAATAAATTAGTTAAGTTCATATTTCAGTACTACCATAAACGAGATTTCCATGTAGGCCCTCAAGCCCTTCTAAAGTCGTTCATGAGTGAGTAGAATGCTTCGGAAACAAGCAAGTTGTCGCGAATCAAATTATGGGGGACCTTCCTGCAGAAAGAGTTACACCTAGTTCAACATTTTTAAATGCAGGAATCGATTTATGTGGGCCGTTCGAAATAAAATATAGGGGACTGGTAATCATCAGAAAATATATGTTGCTTTATTTGTATGTATGGCAACCAAAGATATACACATAGAGTTTGTCTCGGATTTTAAGTCCGAAGCTCTAATCGCAACCTTAAAAAGATTTTTTGCGCGTCGTGGCAGAAGCTCCATGATTTTTAGCGACTATGCGGCTAATTTTACAGGAGCTTCCGCAGAACTTAAACGCTTATACAAACTAAAGTTAGGTAGCGAAGACGTTTCGAATATGCTTTTCTCCGAAGGTATCAGATGGAAATTTTTGCCTCCTAGGGCTCCCAACTTCGGCGGTCTTGGGAGGCTGGCGTGAAAGCATTCAAATATCATTTTAAGAGAGTGGCAGGCCCCATAAGACTAACGCTTGAAGAGTTTTTAACAGTAATCACTCAGATAGAGGGCATCCTCAATTCGAGACCTCTCACTCCCCTAACTACTGATACTGACGAATTTCAAGTTTTAACTCCGGGCCATTTCCTTATAGGAAAACCAATAAATTGGATACCAGAACCTAATTTCATCGATAAAACAGACAATCGTCTTAATAGATGGCAAAGGGTTCAAAAATTAGTGCTAACTATTTGGAGACATTGGCAAAGCAGTTATTTGAGTCATTTACAACAGCACTCAAAGTGGCTGCTGAAAAAACAAAATTTATGTTCTGGCATGCTAGTTCTTAAGGAGGACATCCAACTTATCACTGGCCTTTAGGTCGAATCATTAGAGTAATTTCAGGTTCAGATGGCAAGGTGAGAGTAGCGGATATTCGCACAGCGAAAGGAAATTTTATGACTAATTCCAAAACTTGCATTTTGCCTATAGTAGATAATTTTGAGTTGAATTGAAATGTTCATTTGTATCTGTTTAATTATTACACTGATTGTATTTATTTACTGATTGTATAATTATTGAGTTGCTTTATTTCTTTAACTTTAATAAGAAAAATAGCGATGTAACTTTATATAAATTTTTCCTTATTGAAACATGCATATTTCAACACCGGGTGGAATGTTTCGTATTTGTAAATTACATTCTTGGCGTTGGAGCATCTCCCTTGGTACACTGTAATTACGCCAACTTGGCAAGCACAATCTTTTCTAAACTCAGTCTATGTTTGTACGCCAACACAGTCCATGCATCTAAACCCGAAAGGGAAACGCAAATAAACTCATTTTTAGTAAAAAAACACATTTTTACTCTTCATTTACGCTACCTCCACACAAATACTATACCTCATGATCTGGTTTGAATACTAAATATTACACTGAATTTAAGCTAGAAAGATTAACTTATTAAATAATTGTTACAAGAGCTTTGTTCTTCTAATTTTTATAACTAATTCGTGTTCCTTACATTACCTTCGTTTTATAACAATTTTTATACATTACTTGAATTTTGGAATTTTAAGATTCAGACTACAGATTAACAAGTTTTACATTATTTGATAAAAGAAATTTTTTTGCACTTGAAAATACATTTTCTACATTATCAAATGACTTTTAAAAAATTATCTTTTTAAAAAACTGATATGTATTAGAAAAAAAAATAATCGAAGGACCCATCAACTATGTTTGTTTTATTTCAATGTTGATAATCCTTTTGACTTCCATTGAAATAAGAGATTTAAAGACTGAAAATTTTCAAAGGTTGAAAGTAGATAACTAAAAATTGAAGATGACACAAAACATGACCAGTTTATTAACAAGCACTGAAATATAATACAGAACATAAAAAACTTCATAAAACTTACAACCATTCTTTAGATCAAGTGCAAGTAGAAATATTGAAGATTTTTCAAGAAAATGAGTTGAATGTAGAAAAATGAGCATTAAATATAAGTTCATCTTTTGAGTGACCATGTTCTTGACACTTGTACAGGTTTACCTATGATAAATATAAAGTTGAGAGAACATGGCCCACATACATTTTAAATAAAGTAGAATATTTTATTCATGATTAGATATTTTGTAGAGCATTATCAATCGTGGTTGCTGTGGAAAACTATAATAAAAATAAAAAGCTCAAGTATTTCAGGGTTTGTAAATAAGTTGCAACTGAGAGAGTTTTCTGCTCTAGGTAATTTAATGTGAATTACAAGCATAATGATATATCAAGAACAGTGATTTTCTAGACCAATTATACAAATGAAATTACCAAAAATTTTTTCTATGTAACTCAAAGGACATTTACAGGAATGATGGTCATTGAAGGTTGGCTTAAAATAACCATAGCATAATATTATATAGATTGTAAACAAGAATTTCCCTATTCTGAAACAATTAAATCCGACAAACTCCAGTCAACAAAGGCATGTTAGGCTTTGTATGTTGTTAAAGGAGTTTTAACTTAGGTTGTTTAACCCCTTCTATTAAGATTTAATAATAATGATTATGCGTGAAATAACTATTTAATTTTTATTGAAAGAAAAATTGTTTCATTTTATAATTTTTACATATTGTTATTTGAAATTTTATTTTTGATATGGATATTGTAATTTGTTGTCGAATATCAAAACTTAACTAAACGAAAAACGAGATATAATTAAATTTGTTCACTTACCTGAAGTGATTAACTTAAAAAGTTCTAACTTGTTGAAAATTTTCTAAGTTAAACAATTTGTCTTAATTTATATGGAAAGAAAAACTTGACTTTTGATCTGTTTGCTATTATCGGTAAATGCAAGTAATTGGTGGAGAGTTGGTAAGCTCAAGGCAGGTGTGGGAAACTTATGTACTTGGGAAGCCTTTTCTAACTAAACTTCTACTCCTTATTGGGCTCCAAATATAGGGCACCAAACAGAACATAAATAATCAGGCCAAATATGGTTGTCAATAATATTTTCAGTGACATACAAAATGATCAGGCCCATTTCTTTCTTGCTGTGTACGAACCTCAGTGAAAACCATACGACTAAATATGCCCATCAAATAGTTTCACAAGTGACCCAAAGCTGCAACTGTATCCTTTGCTCACCAATGCTTTGATTTGTTATTTGCACACATTGTCAACACAAATGATTTGATGTTTAACATTTAGAATTATAGGAAAACCTGTCAACAAAACCTTGATGTATTGGGGTAAGTAAAGTGAAATAAAATTTTTTCTATTTCTTTTCTTCAATATTCATTCAACAATCTCACAATTATTATTCAAGTCAAATGCGTAGTCTTATGTTTTGGGGAATTTTTATTTTTGAATTAATAGTTATCTGTCATGAGCAGAAGAATAATCTGAATTTTCTTTCATTGTTACAATTTAAATACTTTTATAAAAGATAAATAATAGGGATGATTGCATATCGTGATGTGTCTCGTCAACTACAATCGCCAAGGTACCAAATGGATAGTTAATTTTGAGAAATTGTTAAAAATCGATTGAAAGATAAAAAATGATTTATTATTGCCCAATACCGTGTTGTGCTTATAGAGTCAAATGCATTTATTACACAGTTTAATGCATTCAAAATTTTATTGTGGGTTATGAACATTGAGTTAGATTTATATTTATTCATATTAACATAACGTTAAGGTTCTGTGCATATAAACTATTGCATCAATTTTTGATTTTTATATTAATAAGTTTCTATGCATTAATGTTACATATATATACTTTATAAAGTTCTTTAATTACAATGTTGAATAGGACTTGTTAATTTTGAATAATCTAAAATGATTTTAGAGTTTGCTGAGATATATATTTAACCGTAAGTACCTACCTATGTTACTTGTTCTCTTAAAGATGTGTGTATTTAGGGATGTAATATTTTATATTAAAATTATTTTCTTATACATGTAGATTTTATGTGTTATTTGCTGTTATAGCTACATATGCGGAAGTCCTTGATAGCAGTGCAATTATAAAATGCAAAATGATATAGTTATGCAATTGTGTTCATTAGAATACAATAATAAAATTAAAACCACCCTATTTCTTTTTATTAATACTATATTCTTTATACATTTAGGTACTAATGAGGTAGAGGAAAGACTTAAAAACTACAAATTGATAGCCCAGGTCCATGATATATTATTATTATGTAACAGCCTTTGTCTACAACAGGCTGTAGTGTTTTGGAAAATAAATAATTGTAGGTAAATCATTATTTGGAAATTTATTCACTATTATTTGTGTATCATGACAATGAACACCCATATTTATTACATTCATTAAACTAGTAAAAAAATATGATTCATTCAACCAATGAAGTACAAGTAATTAGACATTTTTTTTTACTATTGTAATTGCAGATCTAAATCTAAATTTATCAGATCTTTAGTAATATAATTGATATATTACATATACATTTGAATGATAACAACTATGGGATGTGACAGAGAAATACTTCGGAGATAAACTCTGAGAATTTGATGAAGATTTTATAGGTATTAGAACTGATAGAAGCTCCATAACCTGAAAATTAGTTGCCAAACTACAACAATAAGAAGTAAAACGAATTAGCTAAAAGTTATATTTTTTGTTTTGTTTCATGCTTACATTTACCTTTTTAAATTTATTTGTGCATTCCTACCACTTGTTTCCTCGTAATTTAAGGAAATTATCAAGATGTTTTTCTTATATTAAGTCTTTTTAGTGGAATTGTTTATTTTTCAAAACTAGATTTTATTAAAAAAATTGTTGAATTATTAGTGACTTTAAAGTAATGTCAATAACAGGTAAATATTCTTAACATGGTGTGTTTGTTGTATAGCGAGTTTTCTATTCTATATTTTTAGTTTTCAAAAATAAAAGATTGCATAGTTTTAATAACTCTATGATTTTTGCAAACTTAATTAGATTTTCATTATAATTTAACTCCCTTCCCATTGCATTTTAGCTACTAATTTTTTGGATATGGTTTATCTATAATTTCTTCAAACATCCATGCAAATTGTTCCATGAGTTTTAAAAAATTCGAAACTGATGATATTTATAAGTTATACATAAAATTATAGCTCTTACCGCATAAGTGTACCTATAATTATCAAAATTAAGTTAATTTGCCGCATTGAAGTTAATTCTTTTCAGTTTAAAAACCTTGTTATTTGTTCATTTTCAAAAATTCAAGAGTGAGTCTGAACTTTTGACCAGTACTGCATATATATACATACACTGTCAGAAAAAAATCCTTATTCCAAGGAGGTGTTGTGTTGGAAAAACGATGATGAGAAAATGATGATGTCTATTCAACTTTTGCATAAGTTTGGCACTAGTATCACCACTGTGAACATGCAAATTAGGGTTGCTTTAAATACGTATTCTACTGTTCCTAAGCGTTATTTTTGTTAAATTATGACACAGTAAGTTGCTGTTAGTCAAGAATGCTTTTAAGAAGACCCAGAAGACATTATCAACAGCTCACTGACTTTCAATGTGGTCGTGTAATAGGGCTATGATCAGGTGGATTTTCTTTCCATGATATTGCAAAAAGACTGGGGAGAAATATATCTTTTGTGCATGATTGTTAGCAGCAGTGGTCAAGGGAGGGTACTGCTTTAAGAAGACTTGGTTCTGGATGGCCATGTGGCACTACTCAGAGGGAAGACCAGCTTATTGCTGTGACGCACCACACTACGGCTGCATCAGAAATTTGAGCTGCAGTTTGCACTAAAGTGACACAACAAATTGTTACAAATCGGCTACTTTAAGTACAGCTTCTACTCACCCTAAACCACTGTCGTTTACGCCGAGAGTGATGTCAAATTACAGCTCACTGGAGGACAGTGTGGAGATTTACTACGCTTTTTTATTTATTTTTTATGAAAGTCTGTTTTGCCTATGTACCAGTGATAGCCATATATTGGCTAGAAAAAGGCCAGCTGAGAGCCTGCTACTGACCAGTCTCTGGCCTAATCACACTGGACCTACACTTGGAGTTATGGTCTGGGTAGCTATTTGCTATGACAGCAGGAGAAATCTCGTGGTTATTCCACGCACCTTGACTGCAAATTTCTATGTCAACCAGGTTAATCAACCTGTTTTGTTGTTATTCATGAGCAGCATTCAAGGGGGTATTTTCCAATAGGATAACGCTCGCCCTCATACTGCTCTTGTAGCCCAGAATGCCCTACAGAACGACAACATGTTGCTTCGGCCCACTAGATCACCAAATCCTTCAACAATCAAGCACATATGGGACATCATTGGACAACAACTTCAGCGTCATCCATAACAAGCATTAACTATCCTCCTATAGACTAACCAAAGGCAACCATGGAAACTATATCCCACAAAAGAATATATGGCATCTGTATAACACAATGCATGCCCATTTACATGCTTGCATTCAAAATTCTGGTGGTTACACTGGTTATTACTGAACTAGTATTTTGCATTTGACATGGTTTTTCAATTAATTACATTAACCTGTAATCTTGAAACAATTAAATATCCTTCTTAGACAAACGCATAGCCGAAATTTCATTACTCTACAATAATTGTTTGTTGGTGTTGGAATTTTTTTCCATCAGCATTATATATACACACATATATACATATATATACACATATATACAATGATGGAAAAGACACTTTCCGCTTTTAATATTTTTTTTTTAGTTTCTCAGGCAATGCTTTGATCTATATTTTCTAAGTTTAGAGATGTTTAGTTGATGTGATTTTTCATACTTAGCAATAAAATTTGAAGCTTTAGGAGGCTACAATAAATTACGAAAGAAAACAAGTATTTTTGTATTTTTGAACACCCTATGCCAGAAAATCAAGCAATAAGCTTGAAACTTGTATCTATTACTTTGGTTTTTATTTTTAATAACTGAATAAAGTTTTGTTAACCTAGAATTAATATTTCTGGAGATTTTTATAAAAAATTAACTTTTCCACCTTATGTTTTTTCTTAATAACTTTATAGACGTTCAATGGAATTGAACTAAATTTTTAGAGCAATTTAAAATTAAATACAAAATTAGCGATTAAAAATTAAAAAACTTTTTGTTAAAAACTGTGCAAACTATGAGTATTTAAGCTAGTTCTCTTATACTGTGAATGCACTCACAAAAATTTGAAATTTTTTTTTCATGATTTTAAAGCAATGAAAAAAAAAATTGATTTGAATATTTTAAAAATTTGAAAAGTTTCAAGTAATTTTCTAACTAGTTTCTGTACTTTTTAAAAGAAAGCTCAAAACGTTTAATCGTTTTGCACTTTCTTCCAAGAAGTACAAAAACAACTTAGAAAATTGCTTGGAACATGTTAGGATTTTAAGATATTTAAATAAAGCTTTTCTCATTAGTTGCCAAATACGATTCCCTACAAAATTATGAAAAAACTTTCTTAAATTTTTTTTTGCGTATGTGCAGTATAAAAGAACTAGCTTAAATACTTATATTTTGTGCTGTTTTTAAAATTTTAAATCAACTATTTTGTAACTAATCTGAAATTTCTGCAAAAATTTTGTTTAATTCCATAGAATATCTATAAAATTATAATGAAAAAACAGTAAAAAAAAAATTAAGTTTTTATAAAAATGTCCATATTTCCATAAATATTTCTTCTATGTTCATAAAACTTTATCAACTTCAGTAATCTATACAAGTTACAAGCTTATCGCTTTATTTTCTGGCATAGGGCGTTCAAAAATACTTTTCTTTCGTAATTTAATGTAGGTCGTTAAAACTTCTGAAAGTTCTAAATTTTAGTGCCAAGTATGAAAAATCGCATGAAGTAAACATCTCTAAAGTTACAAAGTAATAATTTAAATAGTTCTTGAGAAATTTAAAAATATGTCAAAAACTGAAAGTGTCTCTTCCATTATCTTAGGGTAGTGTATATACCTAATTACAATTACTATAAGGCTCCAAGTTAGAAAAACTCCAGATTGCTGATATTTTATGATTTTCCAGATTTTGGGTATCTAAAATAGATTTTAAATTGTTAAAAAAGATTGCTGTAATAGCTTGTGACTTTTTCTTAACTGAGTGTGATCTCTTTTATGTTTTCTTCTTTTAATAGCTGCTGCGAGCAAAAAAAGTTAACAGAAAGTCTTCAAGAAAAAGTATCTAAAGATAAGGGTTATTGGCTATTTATTAGCAGGAATTATCCCAGGAAAAAACAACCAGTTTCACTACAAGTCCCAAATGGCCATAATAATTACATCACTTTAGTGAAATTTATTAATTGTGAAAATAAATCATAAGCTTTCTTTCAACAAAGCTTTCTTCCATTAAAAAAAAAAAACTTTATACATTTTCTTTTTACTGGGTACGAATATTTCACGATAGCGTAAGTTGAGAGAAATATATTTCAGTTTACCTTGTTTGGCGTTAACATTATTTAATATTATTAATGGAGCCATTTTAACTTCAATAAAAAGAAAATTTTGCTTAGTTTAAAAATTTTCCAGTTTTTGTTTAAAATGAAATTATTTTCATTTTTTAAAAGGTATTTGTACTTGTCAGTTACAATTTAACTAGTCATTAACTTTTAGAAGGAAATCGTTAGGCTAAAAATTACAAAGATGAACAAAAATATCCAGGGGCAATTGGTGCCACTGTATCACAAATATGAACTAAAAACTCTAGGAAATAGCTGACAGCATATCATGCAAATACATTAAAAAAAATGCCAAGTGAAAGGAAACTGTAAGCAAAGAAATTATAAAGAAAAAACAAAAACAAAAAGTGATAGAAAACTATATAAGAGTGAAACTAAGTCTAGAAAAAATCTAAGAACTGATGAATTACCTGATTCATTAAAAGTGGTCAGTGACAATCTTTTTAACCTCTCTTCAAGATAAGCTTCAGATGAAAATCTCTTTGAAGTAATAGGTAGAACTACAAGAATTTAAATCTTTTGTTACACAACAATCACAAATTAAAAGTTAAAATGTTAGAACAAATTAAAAATACAATTATAAAAAACTTATGATTCCTAAAAATATAAAGAATTCTCAGTTCTCAGTGTTCCGGAATAAAAATTGCGTAGAAATTTGCTGCTGATCTCATGCTAGTGTAGGATACTACTCTAATGACTATCATCTACTGGCTCATGATCCACAGCGAACATGTTTAAAGAAGAATGCTTTTTTTTTATTGTTATTTGCATTACAATGTAAATGTAAAGATGTAAGGTTTCACAAGTTTACTATATCATCTTTAAACACATCTTTTTTATTAATTGAATTTATTCTAGTTCAATTTGATCATTTTTAAGATGATTTTTGTTTCATTATATCAAAACATTTTACAGGATTAATTGTAAACATAGAAAAAGTTTCCTGCAAAGCAATTAGTTTAGAATTTACTATTTAATTTATATGAATGCTGAAATAAATATGACAGTAAATTTGGGGGTTCAAAACTCATACGAATTCTTAAGACTTGGTAGAAACTTGAAATAAAAAAGAATTATATAAGACAGAAAACCCCGATGTAGATAGCTAGGTGATAAATAAAGATGTACGAATGACAAGACAATTATGGGTAGAAAACTATTTTTTTACAGATACTTTAAGAAAGTATGTGAGTAGTCAGCAAGAAAAAAAAAGAAAAAAAAAGAGGATACTTAATGATCAAACAAATTTTTATCTACTGAAAGGAAATCTTTGTGATTAGAGAGGCTCATCTAAGGCATGCTAAGTAATTAATGCAGAAAATATACATTACATTACAAATAAGACAAAAAAAAAACACATCTTTCCCAAATAAACATACCTTTAAAAGCAGATTTGGATTTCTTACCCTCTAGATATGAAAGAAGGTAGTCACAATTTAGATTCTATGTTCATAAAAGTTAAGACTGAAGAAGACCAGTTAAAATCTTAGATTTCTTAATGATATTCTTGCTTTTTTGTATTTCATTACATCTTTAGAGCTTTCATTATCGAATTGAGCAGTCATTGAACAGTTTTTGTACCTATTTATGAAGTTCTTTTATCCTAAGGTAATTGCTTACATAAAATATGTTTATTTTGTGTAAGCTTTAAAATTATGATAATATGCTTTAAAGTTATGAAGAAATAATAATAAGTTATAAAATTTTCTTCATGTAAAAAAAGTCAAATTTTCATAAGCAATAATCTGCAACATCATTGTACAAATATACTAAGAATTAAATATAAGTAAATTTTCAGATTTTCCTTCATTTATTTCAAATAAATTGGCATAATTTAAAAAAAAAAGTATTAAAATATTTCAATTAATTATCATTTGCACTCTTGGTCGATGTTAAAAGTGTCCTCTTCCTCGGCCTTGTTGAATAGATATTATGTCATTCTGTGTTTCTTAGAGGGGCAGAAAGTACAAATTCTGCATTTATTAGCCATACTTTTAGTTTGTGATCTTTACAATATTCAAAATATTTTTGATGCCTATTTTCATGAAACTAAACATTTGACTGGTAGACAATGGTTGCAGCAAATATCAAAAAGTAACAAGTGTACATATCACCTTTGAATTACTCATTTTACTAATTATGACGGTACTGTGAGTGAAGTAGTTTGAGCGCTAAAGGAATATTTTGAATTCGTAAAACTGGCAGGAGCGAATTATTAGACAAATGTTTAGTTATCTAAGGATATATTAAGTAATTTTTAATGAAAAAAAAATTTAAATTTGAGCAAAATTAAGTGAATAGTTATTGAAAAATTAACTTAAAAAACCAGCAAAAAACTTATGAGCCTAAACTTCCTTCTGGTAATACTATTAGAACCATATATTACAGATTGCAGCAGTGGCAACTTATCATTGGGGTCAGAAATCTAAATCTGTCAAAATAAAACTACATTTATTCAAAAAAACGTTAATAACTGCACTTAATGTTAAACTTAAAGTGATAGCTGCATTTATTGATGAGCATATTTTATTTTGATCCCTCAAATCATGAAGATTCAATTCAGTGAAATACGGAAAAATCAAATCGAAAATTATGACGGGAAATTTATTTTTTATTTTATTGGTTGCACACATTCCGGTTTATAACAACTTCTCACTATTCACTGTTATACATGCTTCACTACAGTATCACCTTTATTGTTAACCACTTTAAAATCTTCCCAGATCTTGAAAATATTTAAGATTCTGGTATTGTGATCAGTTGCAGCTCTTCATAAAGTGTAAGTCTGTCATTGCAGCAAACTTAAATTGTTCCAGCTTATGAGCATGATTCTACATTAAATGATTAGCACAGAATTGTAACTATTGAGCTAGTAAACAGTTGATCCAGTCCTTTATGTCAATGAGATACAGTTTTGTTTCTTAGTTTTGTTTTACTTAAGGGTTTTCCACATTGAGTTTTGAATAACCCCGTAGTCTTAAAGACATTATAAGCTAAAGACTGAAAGTTGGAAAAAATATTTTGAAATCACCCTGTATTTGTTTTCTGTAAACTCACAAAAATAAAACAAAGGAAATAACTATTTTAAAGGAACATTTTAAACAACAAAATATATTTCATCACATAGTCCTATACATTATTACTCTCCATACATTAAAATAAGATAGAAAAGGAGATACAAATGCATGAAACAACAAAAATAAGGTAGAAATGTATGGAACAACCAATCTGTTTTACAATCGAACTCTTTATCTGCATTGTTTTGAAAATCTAAAATGTTAAAAACTTTAAGCAATACTAATTGAAATAATACTATAAACTGTATTAAAGTTTGACCTGAAATTTTATCTTTATCTCTGAGACTATGCATTTATAAGATTTTGCCAAAATAATAAATTTAGTAAAGTTCAAACAATGATCATAGAGTAAATGCTATTAACAATTCAAATGTGTGGCTTGTAATTTTTCAGACTTCTATACTTTTTGCTTTCCTGCTTAACATACAAGTGTTTCCCAAAAGTATTTCTAAGCATTTTAAGCTGAAAATTCAGAACTGAACTATCTGGAGGATCAGTGCAAAGAGGGCTAATTATAATTATTATATTTTAGTGATCAGACATGAATGCAGCAAACTGTCATGCATAATTATGATGACCCATTTTGTCTTTTAAAAAAAGGCAAGAGGCTAATAAAATAACATCACCACAGCCCTATGAACACTTTCCATCACTTTTACTTTAATATCAGGTAAATAAATTATTTTTCTGTTTCATTAAATTTCTGTCATTATTTTATTTATAGCAGTCACATATTTTAAAATAAATAAGGGTAACATTATTTTTCAAATAATAAATGTATTAAAACTTTAGCATTTTGTAAGATTGAAATTTATAATGAGCTGTTTCATAAACCATTAAATTTTCTAAAATTTATTCTCAGCATACCTTTTATAACATTTATCTTTTAAAGATATTTTTTTTAACCACAGAAAAAATGAGATTTCACCGCTTTTTTCATCTAAAGTTTATGAAGTAAAGCAAAAGACAACCTTTTTATGTCGTTATTATCCTTGTATAACTAATAAAATACCAATGATTATCATCTCCAGTCAAATATAATGATAAAAATATTATTTATAACAATTCATGAAAACAACTTACGGATATACTGAACTTATAAGCAATTTTTTTAAAGTCTAATCTTTAAAGAGTTTATTTTAAATAACAACTTTTTATGTTAGTTTACAAAATAATTTCTAAAATTTATTATTTATTCATTTCTTTTACAAGAAAATATTACAGAAAAATTAAACCAATCATCTGAGAGACATTATCTATCTGACTGTAGTACATAATGGCATTAAGTCCAACAGCTTTAAAGTCATATTAAGTGACAAACGAATATAAAATTTTAAGAAATTGTGTAAAAAAATTGATATGTTAAACTTTTGTGACATTAAATTTTGAACTACTAAAGAATTTTACTCAAAATAGAATTTGAAGCTATTTTAAAAGGCTGTAGCCTTAACACTAAACATAACATAACCGGTCAAATGACTGTTTAAGATCTTTTGCATCAAAAATGCACTTATCATCTTATCGTTTATGCACATTTGATTTCATGACTTTATATAACAATATTACAGTTAATATTCTATTAATATTTTTTTTGTACTTTGTTTGTTTCGAATAATACTTGTCATATATCTATTTCTACCACAACCAGTCATTTGACAGGAAGAACAATTTATTGCTTTATAAGGTTATCGGAGTAGAAATTACGATGTAATGCGTGTTCAACGTATTGCATTCGATTCGTTTCATATTTCTTCTAAGAGCGTTGCATAGTTAGTTCAATCAGAATAACTGTAAATTCAAATTTTACCTAAACTTTTAGATTGGCATTTTTGTGTAAGAAAAAGGGACAAAAACTAAATATTTTGGTAAGTAGCTTATATTTTATTTTGATAGCTTTACTTCATTTCTAACTAACTGTTAATTTTTACCCAGAAAAATGTTGAAACAATCAAGACAGCACAAGTTCTTAGAAGAAATAATATTAATTATAAGAATAATTATAATTCTAATAATTATATCTTATGATTATTCTTATAAGTAATTATAAAAATAATCATAGGGATTATAAAGATAACAGTAATTAGAAGAAATATGTTTGCGGAAAATGTACAATGGAAACACGCTGTATATGTAAAAAATGTGTTGAGCAATGAATTAAAAATTCTTATTCTTTGTGTTTGTAATACATAAAAATTGGCAATAAACAATTTTGTTTCGTTCTAATAAAGTTTTTTTTAGTTTATTTCCTTCCTAACATCCATATTTCATACATTCAATCAAGAAACATAAAGTCTGGTCATTTGACCGGCTATGGTAGAAATATATATACATTAAGTGTTGGTAGGTTTAGTGTTAAGAGCACACAATCGAAGAGGTTGCAGCCCAATTCTTTAATTAATTGTTACTACTTTACAATTTTCACACACTCTCTCTCCTATCAGCTATATAATATAATTTTAAAAACTCTCAGCACATCTTGGTTAAACCAACATTAAAATGATTGATAATTTATGATACATTCATATTTTTGTACGTATTATGTATTCATATTATGATACATTCATATTATTCATTCATATATAAATTTCATTCATTTCATATGTTTGGATTAAAAGAGAGAAAAGTATAGAATACCATCATCTTCTTCATGTGGGATAGAAATGAAATTATCAACTTGATCCTCACACCAAGATGGTCTCTGTTTTAGCTCTTCAACAAACTTGGAAATCAATTTATCCATCATATTAGCCTGAAAAATATCATAAATTCAAAAGTTATTGTTTTTGAAAATAAAAGAGGATACATAATATTTTAAGAATATTTTTCATCAATTATAAAAAAATACTCAAATGAAACCATCAAAAGCTTTTGCAATGTGGCTATTCAAGAAAATTTTAACTAATCTACAAAAAGTTTAGTAAAACATTAAATTTTAATTAAATTTGAAAATATAACAAAATGTAATGAATTTTAAACATCAGTTCAAATTGAAAATTAGAGACATTACTTGACCTGATTTTGACTTGGGTTTTAGGAAAAATTAAAATAATTTTTAACAGTCAACATTTTGTCTAAATTGAAATTTTGAAAGCTACATGACAGTTCGATTTAGCTACTCAACATAACATTTGAGTTCCTTACATTATTTCACAGTTGGCCATCAAATGTTAATCTTTTAAAGATTTTTTGTAGCAGTCATTTGAAAAAACATTATAAGCATAAATTACTTAAAATGTTTAATGAAAACACAAATAGTACAGTTAAAAAAAAAAACATACAGATGTTTAAAAAAACTCCCAAAACATGCTAAAATCTAGTGAAAAGCTTAATTTCGTAAAAGAAAATTATTAATCCTCTCTTTATTTACTATTTATATAATTGGTTATGAGACTAAACAATAAAAATAATTATGCGTTTTACTTATTTATTAGTTATCCGAAACTAAATTTTGGTTTTGAAAATAAAACCAGATATACAACTGTACCATAATCAGGCTAAAAAAATTTACTAATCATAATGACAGGTAATTTCAGTCTCATCAAAATAAATTTGAATACTCACAAATTTATTGAAATCTGCAAAGTGCCACCATGAATTTTTATTTAATAATATATTTTTTTTTAAATTTTTACTTTGTATGCCATACATAAATTTATCATATAGTAAATATGTCCAGCAATAGATTCAACATAAAATAAGGAAGTAAAAATAATTTAAAATAAATCTTGTTTTTCTTCAAAAAAAAGTCTTATTATTTTTAGAATTTCTAGAAAAACAAAGGAATAACATAATACAAGGTAGGTCAAACCTATAATCCTGTGCACTAAATCTGAGTGTATAATTCTGTAATAAATTGACTTATTGGTTCTTGCTCTTTTCATTTTTCATTAACATTTGGAAATATTCTTCTATACTTTGCATGAAGTTCATAATAAGGTTAATCAAACATTGTAATCAGAATGTTTCTCAGAATATGAGTTTAACTATTGATTTTCATTTTTGCGCCAGTTTAAATCCCACTCCTTACAATATTTTAAGAGCTAAACACCAATTATCAAAGAATTTCAAAGAAAAACTGAACATAACTGTTAAATTATCAATTTAGATAATGAAAAAATTATTTAATACCTGGTGTGAAAATATCTGTATGAGTTTTGAATCTCTTGCACGTTGATTGGGAATTTTAAATTGAATGAAAAGACAAGGTAAACAATCAGGATTTTCAGGTTTCAGAGAGGCATAATCCCAGGACAAATTTCGAAATTTCATACTTAGGAGTAGACACTGCAATTGTAAATGATATTTAATCAACTGGTATAGAATTTAATACACCTTAAAAATTAAAGCTATTGGGAGTACAAATACCTTTTCTATAAAAAAATTAGCAGTTTATTATGAAAAAGACGGTGCATTATCTTTTATTCTAAGTATTCCCCATTACTAGACATTACTTTTCCCCATCTTTCTGGGAGCATTCAAATACCACGTCAGAAGAACTCATCATCTGTCAAGGCAAGGTCTGGTGAAGTGACGGGTAGGACTTCCCATTGAAGTGTTTTCAAATTGGTTTTGACCGGCTTCACAACATGTGGATGAGCATTATCATGCAGGAGAATAATTTTGTCATGTCTGGAGTAGAACTGGACTAGTTTTTCTTTGGGTGCTTGGCTCAATTTTATTAATTGTGTTCAGTAGAGAGATCTAGTAATGGTTTTGCTTGGTTTAAGCAACTTATAATCGACAACGCTAATTTGATCCCACCAAATACACAGCATGAGTTTTTTCCCTAAGTATTTGGTTTGGATGTAGATGTTGTAGTATAACCAAGTGCTTTCCACAATCTCCTCTTTTTTGGGTTATCATAGTGAATCCATTTTTCATTGCCAGTGGCTATACAATGCAGAAAACCCCTTTTCTTATGTCTGGAAAGCAGCATTCCACTCATGCGAAATTGATGTTCAATGTCTCTTGGATGGAACCCAACTTCCTTGTTTTTGGATCATTCCCAGCGATTTTTAATGATCTGAAATTGCTTACTGAGTCACTTGTAATGTAAGAACAAGTTCTTTTTGTGTTTGGGACAAATCTTCTTTCAATAATTCCTCCAATTCCTAGTCCTTTTCAGCCTTTCACTGCGTTCATTGTCTTCCACCTCAAACTTACCGTTTTTAAACTTCTGAAGCCACTCACGACAACTTCTCTCACTTAAAGCAGCCTCACAATATGCTTCTCCAAGCAATCGATGTGCCTCAGTTGCAGATTTCTTCAAATGAAAGAAGTAAATCAAAAGTTTCCGCAAATGCTTATTTGGCAAAAAACTTGGCATTTTTGCACAAAAACAATTACGTAATGCTAATACAGAATCACTAATACTTTAAAGTTAATATTGTTACCAGATGAACAAACTTACAATAAGACGTTTAACACCAGTCAATTTCTATGTAACCTTCTAGTAGTGCCATCTTGTGATGAACAGCGGGAACTTATTTGTACATTCAATACATGCATAGAAAAATTTAATTTTTAGCAATCAGTTTCAAAATTAGCTCAATAAAATAAATTATTTTTAATGTTTGTGTTAATTTTCAACTTTCTTAATCATTAAAATGAAGAAAAGTTTTTTGCTTCATTAAATATGCATTTTGTAAAACCTCTGTCTGTAAAACTTCAGAAAATATTAATCAGGCTTTTAAACCAAACACTTTAGTAAGAAATGAATATAATTAACAAGTGATTCCTCTATTTAAAAAAAAAAAAAAAAAAACAAAAAAAAATTTTAAAANCTAAAAAAAAAAAAAAAAAAAGAATAAAAATTTTTAAAATTAAGGAACAATATTGAAGCAAAGCTATTATGTCACCACAGTCAATTGTAAGTTGATATTGTTGCTACAGTCAGTCAATTGTACTTTTGTTAGTTTATAATTGGGATATAATTTATACTTGCATTTAAATATTTTATATTTTAAATTTAAAAAAATGGTCTAATCTATTACAAATTTTCAAACTTTAGCCAACCATTATATAAGAACCAAAAAGCATAGTATGCATTGATACTAATTTATAAATTAAAAATATCTGGGGAGATAAACCATATAATTAATAGAACTATGTAATTTTTAAAAAAAATACAATACTTTCAATTAACTGTAATTATTTTAATTTATTAGCATTAATTATAAATGATTTAAAAATGTACAATACAATATATAATACTTGATCAAAAGGAACTTAATTACAGAGTTAAGGAAAACGTTATAGACAATCGTACCATAAACAAATTTCTTTTTTTAGCTTTGGGCAGTAATTTCATTCAATGAAGGAATATTTAATACTGAAATAACAGTTTTTAAGAAAATCAAAAACAAGCTATGTCAAATACACATTTTAATATATTATTGTAAAAATGTTATAGTCAGAAATAATCTTTTTTACTTTAAACTTTTAATTAATAACTTTATTCTAGTGAAAATATTCAGGTCTTTAATTTTTACTAGCATAGAAAAATGCTACATTTTATTTAAAAAAATATTTTTAAGAGATCCATTGTGTTTTGTATTTTTCAAATTCAATGTACTTAAATTTTATTTTATTAACTAAATATTAAAATTCATATTTCGAAAAACAAAATTTTTTTAATAAAATATTAAATTATAAAATATACTTGTTAAATATTTAACAATATATACAGTAGAGCAAAAAAAAAAAAAAAAAAAAAAAAAAAAAAAAAAAAAAAAANAAAAAAAAAAAAGACTTAATGATGATTGTAAATAGGAATTATGAACTGAAAACAGTAAAGCAACTTATATCAGTGTCCAAAAATTGAAAAAGAAAGTGAAGGTTATATAGTTTTTGGGAAATAGCAATCAAAAGATCTTTGTTTTTTAACCTCTTAACGATCGGTTAGTTTTCAAGAAAACAGTTGTAAAAGTGCCTATTTTTTTGTATTTGTATTACGTATTTGATTAGTGCTGCAACTAGTTTAAAGTAAACTAACTATCTACAATTACCTTAAAAATATCCTAGTACTGCCATCAGGTGAGCAAAATGAGAAATAAAATGTTTTCCAGGCAAAAGAAATGAATTAGTTTTATTCTTATTGGCGTGTTACTACTGAACACTTCTCCCCGTCATTTTCACGGGAGCGAGAAGGAAGGGGTTAATCCTTTCTATTACAAAATTGTTTTCAAATTCTTTCACTTAAATTTCTATTTATGAAAGGTTATTTTATATCTAAAAAAAAAAAAACATATTCTTTTATTTCAAATTTCATATTCTGTAATATAAAACTATTAAAATTCATATGATATATTCCTTAAAATTATAACTGTTCTAATCATTATTGAACAACAAAAAGCAAGAAATAAATGTGATAAGGTCTTTTTTATTAGCTGTGAAAATCTTTGATTCCCAACAAGTCTTTACTTTCTAATCCTACAAGTCATCTGAGTTGGAAATGTTTCATTCAAGAAATAAGGTAAAAAAATAACCATTTATAAAAGATCCAAAAATATCTGATGATTTCATTTTGCGAAATTTAGCAAATTATAGTATCTTCACAACATTTTGATGTTAGACAAACTAAATCTATTGAAAAAGGATATGTTTATTTAAGTAAAAAACTCTTTTGTGTCTCATTTTGTTACTTAATTGATAGTAAGTACTAATTAATAAGCATATTTAAAGCAAGACTCAATCAAGCATATCCAAGATTTTTTTCCTACTTCTACATTATTATTAAGCAAAAAAATGTTAAAACTTTGAACAAGAAGTAGAAATAATTGAAAAAATTACAATACATTAATCATACAGTAGTAAATGAAAAATATGAAATATGAAAAAATTATACACTTACATGGTCTGCAGCATCTATTAAATGAACACCTTCTCGGTTGATACCTATCAACACCTTCTTATCAAAATGATCAAGCAAAAGAGCTAAACCTTTCGTGGGTTTTTCAACTTGGCCATGGAAGAAAGCTGAACTGCAAAAAACATCCATATTAGACTGAAGCATAAGAAATTAAAAGTCACATAAAAAATTAAAATTTTAATTTCGCTTTTTAAACTCAAAAGACTCATAGGATTTCTGAAATACTTGCCGAATAAAGCTTTACATTTTAATTAGGAGCTTAAAAATAAAGTTTTCACTTCATGACCATGCTGCCAAACTTTTTTAATCATTGACCTCCAAATATTTTATAATTATCTTATTGACACCCTTTTAAAAATTAATTAACTGTTTCTTAAATGATTTATTATATTTTGACAAAATCAAATTTTAACAGAAATCTATGAGATGGATGTGTTGATGATTATTGGCTAGATTTACAACATTTGGTTTGAAATATGCTAGTTTCAGTCTAAATCCCCTTCTCAATTCATTTCTCTGCTTTTTTAAAATAGAATTAACATGACTGAAGCCAAATTCAATCATATATGAGCTTGGAAATGTAGCATTACAAAAGAAAAACGTTTTTTTCCTCAATGCCCACCCGGGGAATGACCTTTCATCAATACAAGCATCTAAAAGGGCAGTATTGTTGGCCACTCCTTCAGGGGCACCATATTAGGTGGGTCAACGTTGCTCCCACAGTAAGAACAGATAGTATAAAGAATGAAAGAACATCCCTGCCTTACCCAGGATTCGAACCCAGAACCTTTCTGATGCAAGGCCAGACCCCTTCACAGTCCAGTCGGCAAAAGAAAAATGTAGCATTACAAAGTTTAGGGTACTTTACATGTACTCTTTATATTCATCTAAAATTTACTCATTATTTAAAAGCATCTTTGCTTCAAGATCAACTAATAATTCATTGACTTAATCTTGGAAATGACTGTCAATATTTTCAACTTGAACAGAAAGTGGCACAATAATCCATTCTGGGATATTTATATTTTCGATATTTCCAAAGCAAAATTTAAAATCATCACTAAAGTTTTAAATTCTTCATGAGTGAATAACATTAGTATCCCTTCATTGACCAATAATCAACTCCATAGGTCCTCATGACTTACAGGTATGCATTGCTTTTCTTCCGTGAATCATGGGAGGTTTACTTTCAAGGAGGAACCACGTTTCCTATCAAGTGATAGGTAAGTGTTAGGGGATGTACACCAAATAATTGAAACCGGACTGAGGACTAAAAGCTCCCATTTGGTATCATATGTCTAAGTTGAATAACTGAGCAAATAGGAAAATTATATTGATTTATCTCCAGCTACATCTATAATTATGTATTTATATCAAGCTTTTTAATATATTCTTTCTTATCGACAAAAATATTTTTTAAGGTTGAAATAAATATTCTTGTAGGTAGTTGCTGTAGATCTTTTAATTATTTCTATATCTTTGAAAAGATTCTAAAAACAATTTATGGTGTTAAACTTCATTATTAGGGTACCCTTTCCATAAACGTTTGTTATTAGGGTACTCTCCCATTAAAAAAAAGAACAGAAATCTAATCATCAAGGCGTTCATATAAATTGAACATTTATTCAGACACTTGACAAATGATCGATTAACAACTCCATAGGGCTTAATGCCTAGTAGATATTGCTGTGTTCTTCTGTTCTGTGCATCATGGGAGGTTCACCTTCAAGGAGGTATTGACATGTTTCCTATCAAGCAATGGGGAGGTAGTAGGGGGTTTAAACCTAATAATTGGAACTGACTGAGGAAGTGATGTAGAACTAAATGCTTCTATATGGTATCATATGACTAACTTGAATATCTTTGTATATAGGAAAAACATTTTCATTTCTCTGTCAATACATTTGAAATTATGAATATATATCAAATTTCTTTACCTATTTGTTTGGTATTGTAAATATTATAGTTTTTAAAGTATAAATAAATATCAATGTAAACAGTTATTATAGATTATTAAATTATTTTCATATTAGGTGGCTGGGCCACCTCTTCAGAAATTCTGATGCCGTCCCTGCCAAAAAAGTGACTTTTTCCACAATTGAAGGGACGAGACGTAGGGGACGACCACCTACAAGATGGATAGACGACGTTGAAAAGGACCTCAAGCTATTGGGAGTCAGCCGATGGCGGGCCGTCGCACCGGACAGGGCCAGATGGAGGAAAATCTGCGAGTCAGCCTTGGCCTGTGAAAGGCTGTTGCGCTTATGAAGAAGAAGAAGAAATTATTTTCATATCATTGCAAGTGTTCTAAAAAGAATTTATGTCATTAAACTTTGTTATAAATGTACCCTTTCTGTAAACAGACAGCTGTTGTAAGCAGACAATTTTTTGGTCCCAAGAGTGTCTGCTTGATGAAGGTTTCTTTGCATATTCCCAGGGGTCAATATCGACCACTTTGATGTCCCATGACCAAGAGAAGAGTTTTCAAAACCTAATTATTAAGTAATGATAAATGATACTCATTTTTCTTTTTTCTGAAACAATTATTTAATTTAATAAGAATTTTTTAAGAAACAAAAGTAAGTAGGAAGTAGCAGAAAAATTTAAGTACAATAGAAACAGTACAATAATTTATGTACAATAGTAGCAGAAAAAATTAAGTACATATTTCAAGAGTTTCAATGCACAACATGGTTTGAATTCTTAAAGAAGTCCCAAAATTCGAAGAAATGTTTTGCTTTAATGGAAATTTTTAAGAAAGTTGTAACTTTATTTTATAAATTAAATAACAGATGAGAAAATTAGGTTTATCGTGCACTTACCCATAATAAGGTAAAGCCCAACAAAATTCCATGTATTTTCGCAATAATTTATATCTGGTAGTGTTAACAGATATGCTTTTATATCTATCCAAAAGTCTGTGTTCTGGACCGGGCTTAGCGCTGACATTAAGAAAAGCCCAACGGTTCTTGCAAGCATAATCAGGAAGATACTCATTTATCTTACTTCTACAAATAAACGTATAAAAGCATTCATAAATCAAATATTTTAATTTAATTTAAAAATACAGAAAATAAAATAAAGAATATAAAATAAGGAATTTAAAGTAGCTTTCTTTTTGAACAGCAAAATTTAATTTGAGCTTAGATTCAATTTTCTATTACACAGGGGTCGCATTCCCCCTAAAATTCCTAAAACTATGTGTAAACCCTAAAATTCCTAAAAATCTGATAAAAGTTTGTTGGTGTTCCTAAAAAATTAGAGTTATAGGCTAAATATAAATAAAACAGCAATAATCTAAAATATAAGAATTTAACTACATTAATTAAAACTGTTTTAATTTTGCCACATGGGAATTCTGATCCTGAGAGAGGTTTTTCGATAAATAAAGCAATGCTTAATGTGAGTCACCATGAGAATACTATTATGTCTCTTAGACTAATCAAAGATACCATTCGAAATTATGGAGGAGTGTTGAAGATCACCACAACACTATTGAGGGCAGTAAAAGAATCTCACAAATCATATCAAGAATATATTAGAAAAATGATCATGATTAATTTGTTTTTCTCTAACTTCTAATATAAATTGCTGATTTGAAATCTAATAATATCACACAATAGTTTTTCTTAATAAAGTAAGGTAAAGGGTAATAATAAAGTTTTGATTAAGAAGGTAAAAATTAAATAAAAATCCAAGTTGGTGTTAATTTATTTTTTCTCTTGATTTATTCTCACTTTTGCCTGTTCCTGAATTATGCACTTAATTTCTGATAGGTAATATGTAAAGTTGAAATTTCATTTTTACACTTTAGAGATTTCATTCTTGACTTAATAAATTTCAGAGCTTTATTTTATGGCTTGCAATTATTTATGATATGTGTGGATGAATTGTAATAATCTTCTGTTATGTAATAAACTACCGTGTGATCTGTTTTTATCCTAGCAAAATCATATATTACCCCTAAAATTTACCTAAAATTTTTTGAAAAAAGTTCCTAAAATTACCCTAAAATTTTAAAAAACTTTGCTGCTACCCCTGATTACAGTTAAAAAAAACCAATTATCCATGATACTCGGGACCATCACTATCCCGGATGGCTGAATTTCCCGATTTTCTGTATTGGATAAAGAGTTTTGTTAATCGATGTTTTATTGAACCGAAATTACAATGAAAAAGAGTAACATATTTTAAAATGAGAAAAGAAAGAAAAGAAGCTCTCCTAAATAAAAAAAATGGCAGAAAAATAGCATTTAAATTAATAAAAACATCTACACATTTAGACGAGAAAAACAAGCTTAAAAAATAAAAAATTCACATATATATTTTTTGGAAGATTTATTAAAATCACCAAATTAACTTATATATAAAATAAAACCAATGATTAAAAAAACGCATTATATTTCATGCCTAATTATAAGGAAAAAAGAAAACGATAAAATAAAAGGAAAACTTATTAATCAAATTAAATAAAAACAACTCTTGAAAATTACCAAATGGAAACGATAGTTAAAAAAGCACTATAATAAATATTAGAACCCCTGACAAGGCAGAATATTATAAGACTAAGTGAATTAAAAAAAATTACGAATATAAATTATGAATAAAAAGAACTAACATATTGAGTATGAAATTTATCATGATAAGTGAAAAAAAAGAAAAAAACAAACTCAAAACGTAGTGGAATCAGAAAAGTATCACTTTAAAAAAAAAAGCTACAATTTGCTTCATAAAATAATAGTCTGTGAAATGAACTGATGAACTTATTTTGCTCCGATATGGAGAGCTCTGATTTTGATGTATAGTGATATCTGTAATCAATACCTGCATTAGTAAAGTAAAATCCGACGTGGTATGTACGATGGTGTGGCGTGCCCAACAAAAATTATTTTTTTGGGCTTGACGTATATACCAGGGAGGCGTTACTCCCCAAAATTACGGTATATACATATATTATTCTTAATAACCTGTTCCTAGCTTAAGAAAGTCATTATTGAATTAAGTCAGTTCTTATATTTTTTGTGATTAAATTTAAAGTAAATTTAATTTATTGAAAATTGATATGACTTATAAAAAGAAAAATTAAAAAAACCAGAAAGCTAATGCACCTCAACATTTATTTATCAGATTAATTACCTAAAGAATTTAACAGTATGATATTGCTGATAAAAAAAAACTAATTCTAAGTGAGCTTGAGTACATGATGTCACAATCTAGAAAATATTTTTAACAAAACTGTTTTTATAAACTTTATTTTAAAATTTTTCTTTTTAATTTTAATAAAATTTTTAATATCCTCATAAGTTCCTTGTTTAATCAAAGAAGATAATTATTTCATTAAATCAGTACTTTTAAAATTTTTTTCAATTAAATTCAAAGTTAACTCTATTCATTAAAATTTGGTCTAACTTATACATTTCAAAATAGAAAATAAAAAATTACTAGCAGCAAATGTTGTAAAAAACAATTTAGGATTTATTTATCTGATGAATTACCTGAAAAATTCCGCAGTGTGAATTTGAGGATTAAAAGGACCAAGTTCTAAGCGAGCTTGAATACCAGCCAAAACATCACAATCTTGAATTTCACAGGGGTAACGTCCTTTAAGTACATTATATTTAGCTTCTTCATAAAGAAGTTCCAATATTTTCATATCACAGATCTAGAAAATAAAGTGAATATTAAAAGAAAATATCATGACTTAAAAGAAGGATAGTCGTTTTTCTATTCTATTTGAATGCTGAACAAGAACTAGGTAAGTCATTCATGTCCTGTAACTAGTATTCATAAATTTTGTTCAGCTATTTTTTGAATATTTAATAAACTTTTTTGGTTGGCTACTCAACTTGAATTGAGTTAAAATAATTTTTTTTATGAAATTAATAAAAAAAAAATATTACGATTTAAGTCCTAACAAGAAAAATAAAATATGCCAGAAGATATAAATTTGCATATTTTAGTAAGAGGAAAACCAATAATTTGCATAGCATATACAAAATATTTCATTTTTGCTACATTGAATAATATTAAACAGGAACTGTGATGAAAAAGTAGATAAATGAGAAACATATAAACAGGGCTTAATTGTATTAAATGTTCTTATTTTAAACTAAAAGATTAAATAATAAGATAATTTATTCAAAATGTTTATTATACACCTAAAAAAGGTTTTTCTACCTTTACATTTTAGAGCATTTAATAAATTTAAATTAATATATTTGGTATATTAAAAACTTATGTGTTGCAAACTTTATATACTACATGCAAAGACATTAACATATTTGAAATATAAAACAAATAGGAAAAAAACTTACTCGCATCTCATCCTGCTTATCATAGAACACATTTCTCTTCAAGTACAGTTCTGGTTCATCTGAAATATTATGATTTAACACATTTGATTATTTCTAAATTATTATGATAATTATAACAACTAAGAAAATACATTGAACATTTTTTTTAACCTAAAATATTTTCAAAGTACATTTTTCATCATCAGTAAAAATGATTTTTCTTTTTGAAAATTTTGTGTTTCCGATTGCATGATTTTCATAAAATTGTATTTTACAATTTATAATTTAGACATAATGATTTTTAACTTATATTTACATTAAAAGTTCAATACATCATTAAATATATTTATTTCTATTTTTGTTTATATCTTAAATTGTGCATGAACATAAATTTTCAAGCCTATTTGTAACTTATTATTCAATATTATTTGAAACTTTGATATTTATTTTATTTTAATTAAGAGCCTCAGCTCTAAGCTAAAGTTACAATTCTGACTTGTTTTAGAGATAACAAGAAAATTTTTGCTTAACTTTTAGAATATGAAAGGTAATAGTTGCATGCCAAATTTAATTGCAGTGTTATGTTGATTACATTTAAGCAGTTTAGAATAGTTACATAAAGGTTATCTTTAACACATAATTGTCAAATTTACAATCTTTCAAAAAATGAAATGTTTGTAAAGTTAAATAGATAAATTGGTTGGAACTACAATGGTTATAAAAACTATAGTTCATTGTTTAGCAATAAATAAGATCATTGGTTCCCAACATATTTTGACCTATTCTCTTTTTTCACTATTGCTAGAAGTTCATTCATCTGTTTCCAAAACTCAAAACATCTCTCAGGTTCAGATTATTTCTTAACATGGCTTCAAGAATTAAACAACAAATGCACAAAAAATATTTTGATGTACACCAATAATTGTTAAGTTCCCAAACGAATTATTTAAACAAAATAATTGAAAAATATTTAAATTCTTAGGAAAAAATTATTATTACAGGTGATATTAATCACTTTTTATTCAACAAAACACCTGTGAATTTTAATTTGTTATTTCTTGAATGCATGGAGTTAACAATGTAGGTCACTTGCAATATTCAATCTATTTCCTTGAGATATTCTAATTTGCAACAGAGTTGAAAAGCCTAACACACGATTAATTGTTACAATTGGAAACAATGTACTGACAGAATATTATTTTTTTTCTATTTCTTGGATGCATGGAGAAGTTTTGGAAAGGTTCAACACAAGTCACTTTTAATGTCTAAGTTGTCTTTACTCTTTTAGTTGTCTGTATGTGTAACAAAGATGAGTCAACATAAATGGTAAAAATATTTTTTAAAAGCACTTCCTCCACTCTAAGATAAGACTCAGTGACTGATTTCTTTTAAAAAATGTCTTTAGCAAGGAAATTAAATTTCAGTTCAAGAAGTTCCACTTTTTAAACAGGCAAATTAAGTAAATTTTGTATTAAATCTAACTCTTTATGAGAGATCCTTCTCCTGTTAGGAACCTTTGTTTAAGATTAAGTAAAGTTTGCAATTTATTTAAGATTTTTTCAGGCTGGATGTTCTTTTTTATACTACAATTAGTTTTTTCATTTGCAATGCTTTTTTAAGTGTAGCAAATAATTCTACGAGTGAAGCAAGTTTTATAAATGAAAATGTGCAAATATAAGCTATTTTTTCAATAAAAAAAAATCACATAAAAATTTAATATTTAATAAAAACACAACAAATTATTTTTAATTAAAACAGAAAAATATTACCATTGATTTTATTCAGTTTCTAGGCACAGCCAGCAAAAAGAAAAAATTCCTTTACTCTGAATAACTTTTGATCTGATCACCAGCTTTTTAAGTGTTTAAGATATAAGAAATTCTAGGCATAAAAAAATGGGAGGTAGAAATCTGATAACTATTATTCCCTTCTAACGATTAAGAATGACTTTTAGTGAATGAAAATCATTAGATCAAACTTATATTAAGAGATAAATCATGTTCTCAGTTAAATCATGCTTAGATCAAGTTTTTTTTTTCTCATTTCATTGTATAAGATGTGTGTTATAATACAAGGCAAAGTAACACAACATTAAAAAAACTTTGATAGAAAGCAAAAATTAAGAAACTATGTTGAAAAATTATGTGTAATTGAAAAAATTTTATATTGTTTTTATAGAGTATGAAAGAGTAAATAATTTGATTTTATACTGATAAATGGCAGTAGTTATTCTTAGATAAAGTTGAATATGATATTTTTTAAGGATTGTATATGATGAGATTAGAACAGTCCAGCTGGTCAAAGTTATCAATTTGTATTATGTGGGTATATGTGAAATAAGTGTGGCATCTTTAGATAGTTAATTAACCCACTGACGGTTCTGCACGTAATAAGTCGCATTTTAGCCTGCAGTTTTCTCAGCAGAGCAAAACCGGTTTTCCCATGTTAATGGATAGAGGAACTGTGTGTAGGTGGGAAACATTCTCCCAATTTTGCCCATTTCCTTAACCGCCAGTGGGTTAATGGCATGCTTTACCCCAACTAAAACTAACACAAACCCTTTTCTTCCCAAGCAAAGTGATGTATTAGTTTTTAAAGAATGATTTGTTTTAATTGAAATGATTTTTGTCTATTTATGACAATAAGAAATTCTTAAAAGCTCATTAAATACTTTTTAAAATAAGTCTTGGATGAAAAAAACTTTCTTTAAAATTTTCAAAATTTTAAATTACTTTAATTAAATTGATAACACAACTTGATAATACAACTTTTGCAGAAAAAGATAACCTCGAATTTTATTTTAAGATAAGTTACATTTAAACTTTTTAAAGCCCTTATTATTCAAAAATATTTCTTATTTTTGATGAGAAAATTTTTTTATAATCATAATTCTACACTACTACTTATAGAGTTTTAACAGCAAATATATGCAAACAAATAATCAAGTTGCTAACTTGCATTTGGACATCAGTACATTAGATGAAAACTATAAGAGCAATGAAAGAGCATATGATGCAAGATATCTGAAACATAGGTATTACATAACCATAGCACCATAGGTATTACATAAGAGGAGATGGCACTACCACACTGGAAGCTTTATCACATGCTTCAATTCCAAATTTAACTTCTTATTAAATTCTTCCACATTTTTGAGTTACTTCACATTCTCATTTAGTGCTCTTTATTCATATCTCTACCTTTTAATTAGTCTGAAAAAGGCTAATACTTTCATTTCAATTATGAGGAAACGTTTAATATCCCTGGCAATGCAAAACAAATTTATAACCATTCAAGAATTGGAAAAACATCTTTCTACTTCAATATTTAGTTTATGCTTAAAATCAGAACTACAGTTAATAAATAACTAGAAGAAATTAATACTAACCATTAGAATAAATTTATACCCATTGTCTATTAATAAAATTTAACATTATCAATAGATTTTAAAATATATTTTACTAATAAAATCATAAATAGAATCAATAAAAAAAAAATTGCACAAGAATGTAAATTAAAAAAAAAAAGTTTACTTTGAGCAAAAAACAAAGAAACTAAAATATAAAAAGAACTGAACCTTTATCAAGGTGTTTAGTGGTAGCAGATGTATACTTCAAAAGCAGGGTCATCCATTGTTGTCGTGTGTGATACGGTCTTTGGAAACTTGTTAGCTGTAATTCTTACAAATAAAAAACAATAATGTTACCAGGAATAATCAGCATATTATAATTAGTAATTATTGTTAAACTTTTGAATTGAAGATTTTAAAAATTAAAATCTTCAATTCAATATGTTAGGTTTCTTATCTTCAATATAGCAAAAGACTCTGAAGCAAGAGGGTGCACTTGTACATTGCCCGAAATCAAAAATTAAACTTTTACAATTAGTACTAGTTGTGTTTTTAATATGCTATATTAAATTTACTCAGATTTATAAAATAAATAAAAAAGTTTCATTTCTTAATTTAAAGTTTATTTTTTTTACATCAATTAACTTACTTTTGACTTAAATTTTCAAAAATTAACCTTCACTGAATATTTTACTTAATCTGGACTTGATTGACCTTAACCTAAATATAACTTAAAAACAGCTATTACTTTTAACTCTATGATAATCATTTTATAAAATTGTATAAAACAATTCCTGTGTACCAAAAATTTTATTAACTTTACTAATTATTCGAATGGTTCGTGTAAATTTATGAAAATATTTTATTTAATATAAATTACCAAGCATAGGAGAAACAAGCCAAAGGGAGAATACATCTCTAGCACTTGTAGGTAGAGAAAGATCTTGATCATCTTGTAATATCAATTCCATAAGTTCTTGTACAGTTGCTTGAGATGGATTTTCACATTCAACACACAGCACAACTTTATTCATTAATAAAACGCATATGTCTTCTTCTATGTAAGAGAAAAATAATATGATTTTATTAGAAGCAATAAATTTTAAAGAGTAAAAAATAAAAACTTATTTATCTAATATTATAAAAGTGTTACTGTAAATTCAAAAATGTGTTTCAAAGGATAATGATTTTAAAAGTTTAATTTAAAATCAATTTTTCAGAAATTTAGGAAAAATTCCTCATTAAATTAAAGCTGAATTTTAAATGGAATTTATTTTTTTATATCAACCAACCATTCCTCTAAAATTTTTCATTAAGCCTAACATTTCATTACTTTAGAACTCATTACAGTAAATCAGTTTGTTGGCCATTTATCAGTTTATGCATTCAGTAAAAATTTTGTTATGAATAAAACTAAACTGGCACACTAAATTTTTGCATGTATTTCACCCAATCAAAGAAAACATTTTTAAATTTACTTTTTGTTTGTTTTTGAGATCTTTGTGCAGTTTCTCGATGCCATTCAGTAGAAGTATTTGGCAGATAGCATGTCTGCGATGGCTGTGAAGGTAGAGGATGACGTGGAATATATTCTGGATGTATAGTTCTGTAACCAACTTGATATGAACGAGGTAGTTCCCATTCTTGCACTCTATCATCACTAATTTGCAAAGGAGCTAAAATTTAACAAAAGAAATCAAATGCAGTGCAGCTTTTTTGTAGAAATTATTCTAGACAAAGGAAAATAATAGTGACAGCAATAAGAATGTCACAGATCTTTCAATACATAGGATTCAGTTTGTATGCACAAACACAAGGGCGATTCTTATCAAATGCGACAACTTTCAGTATATGCAGCAAAAATCCTACTATAAATTGGTAATTTTTTTTAAAACTTCAGTTAAGGCCATAATTAATAGCTTTTTAAGATGATTTTACACTAATTTTAAAAATTATATGCAAATAAAAATATATGTTGGGTTCTAAATGTCATTTTCCTGACATTTTACAAAGAATACTTTAAATAATTACTTGTTTTAAAACTCCCTTTACATTTTTTGCGTTAAATTTTTTACATCTAAACTGATATTAGCATTTTTAGTGTATTTGCACAAGAAATGACTTAAAAAATATTTCATAAATAAAAATTTTCTGTTAATAATTTACATATCACAAGAAAATATGTCATTTTTCCTGGCCACTTATTTTCATTTCTCTATAACCTACATAAATGGTGCTAGTGGTAATTTTTTTGTCTAAGTATATGATTGGTAAGCCATTTCGTTATAACATATCTTCCAGTGGGCACACAGAAGACAGTTACAGAGAAAAACCCATTTAAAGAGATCATAACATATATAACAAAATCTAAACTAAATCATAACATAACAAAACTAAACAAACATCAAAACTAACATCATAACAAACTAAATCATAACATAAAATATATTATTCAGTCTGAGCTTCTTTAGAAAAAAAAACATTAACAACATAAATATAAATTTCATTCCTAAAAGTAGAAGAAAATAGAAGTAAACAGCTACAAAATTTCAAGTGTCATTATCCTGGCTATTGGCATTATCAGATAAAATTTATTAGATCACCTATACTGTTATTTTATCTATACATTTCTCTATAAATACACACACATATACATATTTAAGGTTTTCTGCGAAATAATGTTTTTTTATAGCCATATATGCTTTTGTCAAGTAAAACAAAAGGATCCTGGTCTTTTGATCTAAGAATATTTTAAACTAGTTTAAAATTGGACCTTTCTAATGAATATAATTTAGATATTCTCAAAAGATAAACAAAAATTCATATTTTTTGACTTTCTCTTGAAAAATAACAAATGGTCTACTATGGAAAATAACATATAGTTATATGGTCTACTGTCCTAAAAGAAATTATTGGATTATTAGCTAAAGGTAACCATAGTAACATTTACCTAAACTAATAGAGAAAGATTATTTTCTTCTCAGGTTCTTTAGTCAGTCTACTCAATCAAATGCGAGAGAGAGAGAGAACAAATTTCAGTTTTTTTTCCTGCCATCAAAATAAATTCTTAATTAAAATGTTCTCTTAATTAAAATAATCTGCAGAATGAGGATAAATAAATTCTTAAGTTTTCAGCCATACTGTATGATATGTTTGTATCATATTTTATAAAAGCATTTAAATTCAAACCACATTATCTAATATTAACAGCTAATTTTTTTTTAAAGATTTCCACTTTAAATCTTTACCAATATAAAATTTAACCCTTGTTAGCAGCTAATTGTTTAAGGATTTTCAATTAAAAATTGCCAAATTATAAGCTTTTAATTTTTCAGCAAGAAGTCAGAAATCAATCAACTCCAATACTTGCCATCAACTTGCTGCTTTTGCAAAAATTTGCACACTACTGAGATTTGTGAAATGATCAGAAAAGAACTGCAATTCTAGAGTAGGCGAGCATAATGCAAAGCCCTTTAAATGTATAAATGATGAAAGATGCATGTGATGATAAAAATGGTATTCTTTTAACATATGACAAAAATAATAAATATATATGCTTTTAAACCAAAATTCAATCCAAATTTTAAAATTAACATTCAGTACATAGTTCGGAAAAATTCAAACATCTTAACCCTAAATACTGCTTCTAAAATGTAAATAATAAATATATATGCTTCTAAATCAAAATTCAATACAAAATTTAAAACTAACATTCAGTACATAGTTAGGAAAAATGTAAACATTTTGATGCATCTTGACCCTAAATACTACTTTAAAATAAATTTTTAGAATAATTAAACATTACATTTGTAACTAGACAAAACAAATATTTTTTCTACACCACTAGTCAACCACTTGTTTCCCAAACTACTAGTCAATGCATTCACTCAAAAATTTGATAAGCTATCTCCAAGAAAAATTAATCAACTAAATTTTAGACCCTAATTTTCAACTAACATACCACATCAGTGGCTGATAAAATATTGTGACCGATGCACTTTTTCATATTCAGAATCTTTTTACACAAAATCATTAAAATTATTCTGATATTCAAACAAAGGATCCTTATTTTCCGATACTTATTTTTAAAGTTAGCATAAACATAAAATGTAGAAGTAAATTTCACTAGCAACTAATGACATATATTAATTATATCATTCAAAATAGGCTTAGTTTTTAATGTCTGAGTCTTTTATATATCATATTACTACTCAGTAAATGAAATGTATACAGTTTTCATTTATTCTATTATCTTATTATTTAATTGTCATGACACTTAAACAGTGTTGACACTTACTGAACATTTTGAATCAGCTATGAATAGAAAAATCTTCTCTAATATTTAAATTTTAGAAAGATTTTTCAAAATAAGTAACTAAGTTAGTAGCCCTGTGGCAGAATTTTTTCGGGATTTCTGTGACAAACTTTGTTAGCACTAATATTTTGCTTTCAGATACTTTTAATTATATCAATTACTAATTTAAAGTAACAGAAACGTTGTGTTTAGAGAAGAAAGTAAAGAATAAAAATGTATAAAAATTTTTCATTGTAAAAATAATATTTTTTTAATTCTAATATTATATGCGATTTTCTCGCATTTTGCAGGTGGAGAAAATTAACTAATTATTTCCTTTTTCGAATTTTGTAACTCAAGACACAAATTAAAATTCGTAAATAAATTAAACGATAGTAAATTAAAATTCGTAGATAAATTAAAATTCATACATAAATTAAAAATCGTAAAATGGCAGCAACTGTCAAAATAAAAATCACGAATCTTTAAAAAAGAGATCCTCAAATAAGTGTATGTAAAATATGGATTTCTTTAAATGAAAAAAAAGGAAAGAAAGAACATCATTTCTACAGTTAACTATCTTTTAAACTTTCGCAATTTCTGAATTTTTTATTTTAGATTAATATTTTGAAATTCTAGCTGAAGAAAGTCATTAAAGATTTTTTTTTTAAAAAAAAATCTCAATTGAGATTAGAAAAATCACGATTATTTCCTTCCTCTCTGAAGCGCAAAAAAGACATCTTCTAAAAAAAATTTTGCAGAAAAAAAAACTTTTTTCAAGAAATTATGCAGAAAGGAAAACCAAAAATTTCCCCTTCCCAAATGAAAAATCTTTCTGCAAAAACTATGTAATGTTCTGCTACAATGTTGCTGTGCTGCCGCAATTCTGTCACGAGGGTTAGTAGTTAAATAAATAAAGATTTTCATACATCCAAAAGTTTTTTTTCTTAAAAGTTTTAAAGGTATCAGTTCTTAAATAAATTGAAGATTTACTAAAAACCTCTCATAATAGAAACACACACATAATATTAACACATACATAATCTTAAGAAAATCAAGCTTGAACATAAATTGTGGAAAAGCTCTGTGCCTTTTAGCATTGCAATTAAAAGATAAGTAATGTAAAATACAAAGTGTAAATATATGTGCAAAATATAAGTAATGTAAAATAAAGTATTCTTTACCTGTAGATGATGAGTGAGGAGAATAATGGAATGAATGTGGTGAATAATCATACCCAGTTTCACATCTCATGACTGGACGATTACGAGTACGAGTTCCAGCATCAAAGTATCTTAAGTCATTTTCCATTTGAAAAACATTAAAATGTTGATTGCCTGCGAGGATTTATTGTAGTTTTATCTTTTAAGGTAAAGATCATATTTTCTATAACAAAAAAAAATTTCATTACATTAATAATAAAAATACATTCTAAAATTAAATTAATCAATATCTTCAATACTTACAGTTTTATTATTTAAAGGTAGCGGGAAGAACCAAACATGAGCATTTATCATCATATTAAAAAAAAAAAATCTAAAATATAAAAATTCATAATTACAGGTAGAACCCGATAAGCTTAACTAATAGTAAATATAATCAACTTTCAGCAAAATGATTAATTTTTTAATGCTATTTTGACTTACCTATGATCGTATAACTTATTCGAGATAGTGTCTGTAGTGAGTAGCTAATAAATTTTCTAGATCTTATTAAATATTTTATGCAATGAAAACGTTAGAATTATATACATTTTGTTTCGTTTTTCGTTACTTGATGACATGTATTCAGATAATAAATAATTTTACACGGTTGGTTTAAGATTAAGTTAAGTTTTACAAAGAAAATACAATACTATAAAAATTAAATACTTAAATAATTTAGAAAATAAACACTTATAAAAAAATAAAAGCATGGAAAAACGAAGTTCATTAAGTCACAGTCACCCTTTTATAATAGTATTTTTTAATATATACCAATCAGGCAAAAATTGCCGATGTATTTACAAAATTCCCAAACAAAAACTAGATTATCCAAACAAACGATAGTTGTTGCCAAAGATATATTTTTACAAGAAATAAGTGCATTACAATTTGGAGGCCAACGTGGCCAAGAGACTAAAGTCTCAGGTATTTTCCAGTTCAAAAGATGTTATAAATATTTTTTTCGCTGATCATACAGCTGTATTTAATTTTTAAAATTTCCAATGTCACAACAATCAATGTAACATTTTAATTTTTTATACCTGTTGTTTGACATGGCAGCATGTCAAACATTGAATACTAAACATGCAGTAGAGCTGGAGCTACAAACTTTGCATCTTTTCATAAACATAATTTCAGAAAAAAGGGGGATTTTTGAAGCATTATTTAGTAACACGCAGTATTGAGTTTAAAAAAAAAAATTCTGTGAAAGTGTTGCATACAGTAATAGTTATTTCGTAATAAAATCTTTATTTATTTCATATTTGTTTTTAAAATGTAACTGGCTACTAAAAACCCGCCAGCAACATACAATGTCGAAGATTTGTTTATTTATTTTGGTTGTCTTATGTAGTGATGTTTTAGCGCTCATTGAAGATGATTATTCGAATATTAAAACATCTGGCAGCAAAATGAAAGCTAAAATTGGCGATATCGAGCGTGAAAAAAGAAAAGAAATTGTTAAGAATTATTTGGAAACGTTACCTAAAACACAAAATGATTGGGTTGACCCTTACGATATGTCATTACCATCACAAGAGTCAAAAGACATGGACAATGAATACAAGCCTGTATTTAGTGATATAAGCGGTGAAGTTATTGGCTTAAATGCCATGTCAAAAGATAATACTGAGATTGTCATTAAAGATTCTGGCAAGCTTTTTCATAATCCTAAACATCAATTATGCGTTCTTGATAGCATATATATTTCTCGATGGTTGAAAATGTTGATTTTAAAAATTGAAACTGACTCTTTCTTTAAACCCAGTGCACTTGTCATTCCCCTTAATTCAGATTCCCTATCTGAACTTAAAACAATATCAACTAAAACTTTAAATATCGGAGAACTTGATGAGCTTGTTTCTAATTTGATATCTAAAACAACTGTGACTAGTAAAGAAACATATGACTGGGCAAATTTTTCATATGATTTTGGATACGGATTATTAGTATTATTGGGTACTGGTTTATTTGCTTATTTGTTTTATATTCTTTTTATCCTCAGACCTATTTGGACTATATTTTGGTGTATCATTTTTATTTGTATATTTTGGCATTGGATGCATTTGTATCAAAAGAAAGTTGCATATAAACATGCTCAATTAGCATCAATGACGATCCCTTCTGAGTGTAGAAAAAATGATTTCAGTTTTCTTGAATCCATTCAAGAATATTTTAAAAGTTTTTTCAGAGTTAGCGATTGCACAAAGTACTATGAGGCACTTATGGTGGATCCAATTTGGGAAGTTAGTTTTTCAGTTGCATTCTCTGAAGCATTGTCCGCAGCTCTCTTTCAGCCTATGTATTCCGGATCAAAAGCATTAAACGCTTCAGCAAAACAGTTGCTTGATGGTTTATCTCTTTCAAGCACTATAATACTTTTAGGGTTTTTATTTTTATTGATTTTAATGTTTTTTGGTTATCGTATAAAGTTACCATTTTTTATGGGTGCAATAGAACCTGGTTATACTCAGCGAAATTATGTTGAAGATGTAAAACCTACTAGAACTATTAGTGCATTGGGTGGTTTCATACAGAAATCTAAGGAAATTATTGATAGAGAAGATCGTAAAACTTCGGGCTTGTTTAAAAATAAATCTTATAAAGATTGTAGTTGCGACTCCCCGAATCGAATCAAATGTAATGAAAATGTTACTTCAAAATATGGCTCTGAAGAAGATTGTCTCTGTGCTTCTCAGTTAACTTGTAAAGACTGTAAAAGAACACCAATAGAATATCATCCTGATCAAGTGTCGAAAGTTGGAGAAGAACTAAAGAGTTGTACATTTTGTAAAAAGCATGTTGCAAATGATAATTCTCCTTGTAGAAGAAACAATTCGTGTTTTGGAAGTGACAAATGTTATAATTTATCTAAAATTAGTGGCCCAACTGAGTTAGCTGATGTTGATCAGGACAAAATTGTAGAAAACGCTTGTTCTGCCTGTGAATCTAATCAGTTGAAACCAAATATTTGCTGTGGAATGTCTGAACAAAATACATGAAGTTTTAATGGTACTTTTTTCTTCCCTTTGCTAATATTTGTAAAGTGTTTTAATATTTTTGCATATTTTAATTTTATTATATTTTCTTTGTATATCAACTTAAAAAAAATATTTTTGCCAAACATTTTAATTGTTTTATAATTGCTGATTCATGGTGCGTAGCATTTTTAAAAAGAGCTTAAATGTACCTATTTGCGATTTTTGTTCTCTAAAAACCCTTAAAGGCGCATTTCTTATAGGGAGTTTTTAAAAGATGTTTAATAAGATTTCTTAATATAGAATTATCGAAAATAAGATTTCTTTCTTTACAATGTTGATTTTTACTACGTATTATGTATAAGCGCGGTTTTCATATTGTTCTATTAAATGTCTTCACAATTCATTCAAACACTGCATTTAGGCATACTTGTCACTCTGTAGTGTATGAAAGTGCCAATCATTGTACATGTTTGATGAAATACTTCTGGGTCCGCATGTGCGTCTACTGAGCTGGGTTTGGTGAGATTCTTGCACTCTCAAGGGCAACTCTGCTGCATTTTGCAACATATTCTCAATTTCAGGCTTCATTTTCCACCCACTGAAAATCTCTCGATCTTTTTTTATGTTGGCTAATATAATCAAGAAAAAAGTTCTTTATCAGAAACTAGTTATTTTGTCATGATCATGTAAAGTCTTTGAAAATTATATTGCATTTTGTTAATGTATGTAATGCTTTAAAATATTTTTAGTGCTTAAAAAGTGCTTATTTTTTGTTGAAAGATTCAGCTACGCACCCTGTGATGAGAATATGTTTGTATTTATCAGTTTATTTTTTATGAACTGACTAAGTGCAAAAGCTTATTTTAATGAAGATTTTAATGTTAATCATTTATATAAATACAGTACAGAACCCGTTATCCGGAAATCAGAAAACCGGAAAACCGGAATGAAATTCGATAAATTTTCCCGCCATTTTTTTAAAGAATATTTTTTTTCCTCATAATATTTTAGGATTTTTCTTTCTTTTTTGAAAGATGTTTACCTTACCATCATTTTGGAAATAATCATTAGTGTATTACTTCATCGTTTTTTCTTCTTTTTAAGATTATTTCCAAAATTTTTTTTTTTTAGTTGGGTTTAACAATAAAAAAAACTGCTTTTTGCAGCGATTCAGAAAACCGGAAAAATCAGTTATCCGGAATAGCGATGGTCCCGATCGTTCCGGATAATCGGTACCTTACTGTAGTTATGTAGTGGCTGATAAAAATTTTATGTTTGCTTCAATGAAGAAGCATTTTCTGAAATGAGTTTTCCTCTTTTTAAAAAAAAGCCAATATATCTTGATTGTTAAAAAGTTGAAAAACATTTTCATTGTCTTTTTTGGAAGTTATTTTTTGTTCATAAAATTTTGTATATTTAAAAATATTCTTCATGTATTGCATAGAGACTTGTTCCATTCTTATATCTTCATTATCTCGTTTAAAATAAAGTGAATAACTGTTTAAAAATATTCAATAATGCTTTGATTCTATCCTTTTAATTGCATTTACAGACTAATTCTTACGGAAAAAACTCAGGATTTTTTAAAAAGAAATAATCGCATCACAGAGGTGCTCATGATTTCTATTAGGTTTTTTTTTGAATAGATAGGTGGTAAATGATAGAGAGGAATAAATTGTAAAATAATTTTTATATGTACTTAATAAGATGGAATTCTAATAGATCATATCCAGAAAAAATATGAATTATTAATTTTCTTAAAATGAATTGTTCATCTCTAATTTTTGACTATTGACATTTTTAAGAAAAGTTTGTATATATTATAAAGGTACACTGTTTTAAAAAATTTTACTTAAATGATTCTAAGTAAAACTATATATTTTATTTAATATGATGTCTAGAACTGAGAAAATTCAATATTTTAATTTTGGTAATTTTTTCACCAATTTTCTTTCTTTTATCAATTTTTTTTTCATTTTTATTATATTTTCTTATTACCTAAAACTGAAAATGTCAGTTATTTTTTTATGAAAATTTTATTATTGTTTGCATTTATAGTTAATATACTTAAAATGAATAGTTTTCTGATTTTTGTCAGGATGAGGTTTCAGGAAAATACTTGTATATTTTATTAAAATTTTGATTTTAAACTTTAACTGCAGCATGTAAAGAAAAAATTTTCTTAAAAATTCAATCAATATTCTTATCAATATTTAATATCAATTCTTATCAATATATTAATACCAATTCTTATCAATATTTAATATCGATTCTTATCAATATATTAATACCAATTCTTATCAATACTTAATGTATTATTTAGGTATATTATATGCAATATATATGTTTATATATACAGTGAAACCTGTTACAAACACTCCTACAAAGCAGATACCTCTCATTATAGACATATTTCCCCTGTGAATCTTCTATGAATAAGCCACTATGTACCTTCTTCAAAAAACAGGACACGGACAGTCACTTAAGCTCTGGAACGTTATTTCCTATCTCTACAAACCAGACACCAATTTTTCTGATTTTTTTTTAAAAAAAAAAACTTCAAATTCTAAGGAAAAAATTATGCAACTTCTCACTAATTTTAAAGCATGTAATTTTTTTTCTTCCTAATCCACAACTAAAAATAAGGTATTTCGCTACTAAAAAAATCATTCTCCTTTCACCTTCCTTTGTCTTTGCAAGGAAAGGAGAGAAAATGATACTGCTCATATGAAATATTTCAGGCAGTGTCATCTTTTCACCTGGATTATACTGGTTGAGACCCCACATGCTAATATGATGCTTTAACCACTTCTCTAAAAAAAATTTTTGATAAAAAAAAATGCAGAAAATCAGCATATTTTTTTATTTCATCATTAAATACAAGGAACTAAAATGAAGCATATTACACATGTTGAAATTTTAAATTTTTTTATGTGTAAAAAACATTTAATTTGCTATCAGTTTTCGATCCAGAGTCATCTCGGGCAAGTGAAGAAAGTTAAATATCATTCTTTGTATGATAATTTTTAAAAGTGTATACATTAAGTGATACTTTCCAAACGCCAGTGAAGAAATACCCTATTTTTTTTTAACTCTCTTTTTTTCTATGTAAAGTCAACAACTACCGTATAAGCAATCGCACAAAACACGTTTGCAGTCCCGCAATCTAACAGCATAACTCCCAAGCAAGCTTCTAATCACAGCAGAATTTTTTTTTAATTTGCTTCTTACCTAGTAAAAACTTGAGAAAATAAAACACTGAAAAATTCTTCAACGCCCGAGTTTTCTCTGGATAATTAATATTTGCATTATAATCGTATCCGAGTTAACTGGGGATAATCAGGGAAGCAGTTAAATGCTCTCAATTTCTGTTCCCCACTGTGAATTCCTATCTATTTATTATCAATTTGGAGACTATAACACAGTTGGGTTATAAAAAAAGAACAGAAATCTAGTCATTGAGGTGTTCATATAAATGAAGCGTTTATTTAGACGTATGACAAATGTTCAATTGAGAATATAACAGCTCCATAAAGCCAGAGCTCATTCTAGGCAGAAAAAAGGACAGGGTGCATAAGTTTAAAAAAAGGGCATTATTATTCTAAAAAGGCAATAATTTCTCTCTGTGGGCTTTACACGTTCTATTAAATAACATTGCCAATTAGTAAAAGAATTTTTTTTAAACTTTACTAAAAGTAGCAAAGCAATCATATTAATTACTAATTTTTATTAATAAATTAACAGATATATCGAGTTAATGAGCTAATTAGCTTAGTAATTTATTTAAAATGCATGCATATATTAATTAAATTATAAATGTATGTTTTTGAGTGTCTGTAGTTATGATTTAATAATTAAAATGATTAATAATAATTATGATTTAATGATAGTGGAAGTAACTGCAAACTTTCAACGACAAGCGCAACAAGGGGGTGTGATGGGTATTTTTCCTTTCCCATATAAATCTATGTATTGACAGCAATGACAAACAAAATAAAAAGAGTTAAAAACAACAAAAGTTTAAAAAATCCATTGTAGAGTTTGGGAAAAAAATAAAGACGGGTTAAGGAAAGAAAGGGTATGGAGTCTATTACATCAGGACACTAATTTACTTCAGGGGCAACAGGGTGGATTCTTTTGACTAAAAGGGCAGCAGGGTGCTGCGCCCTGTTTACCCTGCCTAGAATGAGCTCTGATAAAGCCTTGTGGAGAGAGTTGTTATTGAACATGTCAACCTTCATCTATGGAAAGGTATCCAAGCATAGAATCGAGTTAACATGTCTTATATACTAGTGATTTTGAATTGTATTTTTGTAGTGGTAGACATACTACAGCCTCATGCCTTACAGATATGCAATGCTTTCTTTTTTTTTCTGTGCATAGTGCCAGGTTTACTTTCAAAAAGGTATTACCATGTTTCCTATCAAGTGATGGGGAGGTGTTAGGGGGTGAAACCTAATAATCGAACCGTTTGAGGGAGTGATGTAGGACTAAAATCGGTATCATATGACTAACTTGTATGTCTGTGTAAATAGGAAACACATACTAATTTCTCTGTAGCTTCATCTAGAATTATGTATACATATCAAATGTTTTCCTATATATTTTGTAGCAAAAAAAATATTTTTTAAAGTTTAATAAATAGATTATTTAATCTTTTGTATATCATTGCAATTGTTCTAAAAGCAATTTACGGCATTAAACTTTATTATTACTGTACACTTCCCGCATGAACGGACAACTCTTGTAAGTGGCCAATTTTATCGCTCCCAAGATCATCCGTTTAACCGAAGTTTCACTGTATATACACACAATTTATTTATTTGTTCTTTCTCATTGAGAAGTAAATGCTCATTTTAGAAAAAAATTAATGGAATGTTTTAAACAGAACAGATTGCAAACTTCATTTAGAAATTGTATTAATTTTTATAATTAAAAAAATTTATATTGATATTTCAAAAATTGAATAATAGTTAGAATAAATGAAAGAAAATTTTCTGGAAGGATTTTTGAACCTATTCAAGTAAGCAATTAACAGTGGAAGCTAAGAAACAGTAGTGAATTTGACCGTTTATTTAAATAAAATGAATCATTCGATTCTTTAAAGTGAGGCACATGGTATCTGGTATCACTATGCCAAACGAGGAGAATTAACTATTCTAAGGGGTTGAGAAAATTTTTTAAGCTAGAAACCAATGGAAAAAACTCCTACAGGGGTTTAAATTTTTTAGAAAAAATTTATTTCAGAGATATATGGTCCCAAAATGGGTGACTTAGCACCTTACAAGGTTAACAAAACCACTTTTGTCACATTGTTGCTATTTGAATCTGTAAAGGATATCTTTCTCTCTGGTCAAAAAATGGAATCTCATTTTGGAACCTTCCTAAATATACTACTCTGAAACACCTTTAAAATAATCGTAACCCCTAGTTTAAATGGTTACCACTATTGTTCATATACGATGTCAATAAACTCAGTTGCATGAATAAATTATTTTTATTGGCTTTTTTCATTTGAAGAAAATTGTGAGAATTATGCTTAAATTTGAAACTTTTTTAAAAAAATAGAAATTTCATGACAGAATTATAGAAAAAAAATTCCAACAAAACCTAATCATTCAATATTTAAAGAGAGAAATCAAAATATATTGATTTCAATTATTCAAGGAGACAAAAAAAATCTAAATCGGAGGTTTTTCAAAATGTGTCTGAATGATTCTTAATAAATATATGAGCAAAAGGAAAGAAATGTTTTTTTTTTATATTTTCATAAATGTGATTTTTTTTTGTATATATTTTTATATATCTGTTATTCAAATGTTCAGTGTTTAAATTAAATTCATAATATGTTATTTATAAATGAATTTAAACAGTACTACAATAAACTTTAACATAACAATTTTTAAATGCAAGTAATGAGATGAAATTCTTATGTTTTATAACCAAAAAAAAAAAACAAAAACATTTAAAACAAAAACTGTATTTATATGCTGAAAAAGAATTCTGTGTCTTGAGATTAGAAGTATGTGTATGCATTTTTTCATTTATATATGTATATATAAATGAGTATATTATGTTCTTTTATTTTTAAATAAAAATGTATATTTATGGAAAGGGCAGGAAATGTTTGTTTGTGTATTTGATAATAAAATGCATTGCCGAATGCCCCAAATACCAATTTTTATTTTCTATAAACCCTGTTTCATTAGGTAGTTAACAATCATTAACTATCTAATTTAATTTAATTAAATGTTACAACATAGATTTATTATTTTTTATCATTTAAAATTTGCATTTACTCATATGTGTTATCATATTTTTCTTTAAAATGAGCCTATTATTATTATTATAAATTTTTTTTTTTGGATGGCATGTTTGATTTAATTGCAAAGGAAAATCTGTTTTTATTAGTAGAATTGCTATTATGTCAATTTTCCTTTGATGTGTACTATAGCACTATTTTTCTTCTTCTTTTTAATTGCCATTTTTGATTCTCAGTAAAGCATGTGT